ACCTGAACCTGAACTAAACTTCAAATTTTGCAAATCATTGAACCTGAACTGAACTAAAATTTATGAACCTGAACTGAACCTGAACTTGAATTAAAAGTTTAATACTAAACCTGAACAGAATCTGAACCTGAACTTGACCAAAGTTCAGTTCAGTTCAGGTTTATAAAAATACTATATGCAGGCATGCGATGGATATGCACTTAGGTGCCATATGGGTAACCAGGTAAAGTCAGTGGTGTAAAATTAGATAGTATATAATACTAGTAATAATTAATCCTAAAAATGTAACCATAAATTTGTACTATATCAATTAAAGCTAATAAATCAACTGGCATTGTAGTCAAAGTTTAAAAAAAAATGTTTAAATAAAAAATTTAAAAATAATTTCTAGATATGACAACTAGTATAGAACCTTCAGATGAATAACTTAAATTAGATAATAACTAAAGTTGTATAAATAACTAGTTGTATACTTTTTTTATAATTATTTTTGTATTTGTTATATAACAAATACTAACTAATATATATTATTAATAAAAACTTGAATCACAAGTACTTATCTTAATATTAAAAAAAGAAAAAAATACAATAAATATAATAATTATCATAAATATTAACTTTAGTAAATGTAAAAAATATATATATTTTTTATAAGAATTTTACTTGAATTTTAATAAAGTTAAAATATAATTTTACTTTTAATATTAAAAAAATATTACTAAAATAAATATTAGTAACAAAATTAGCAACTATTAATCAAAAAAATAAAATAATAAGTAGAATAAAAAAAGAAAAAAAAAAGAGAAACCAAGTAAAAGAAAAAGAACAAATTAGTAATAAATAAAAGAAAAAAAAAAGCAAAAGAAAAAGAAAAACAAATCAAAAAAGAAATACAAAAAACAATTTTAAAACTTGTTATAAAGAAGAGAATACTCTTTCATTATAGACTTTAAGTAATTAAACAAGTAGTTTACTTTTGTTTGAAATAATATAACAGGTTGTATTTAGATACTATTAAAATAACTAAATAATACAAGACTTAGTTGTTAGAGATATTTATATAATTGTAAATGTAATTTTGAAATCTTAATAAAATACTAGCATAGGATATAACAATCTAATAAAGTGAATAGGTTATTATACTTCAAGTATCAGATTTAAAGTTTAATTCCTATAAATGCCAAATTTTAAAAATTATACCTGTGTTATAATAACTGTTTTTTGTCAATCAGTTAGGTTTTAGGTATTTATAATCTTAAGTACATCAAATCAGATCCTATCTGATATTGAAAGCTTAAGGAAGTGTAATATTACATATATATAGAGAAATATAAAAAACCAATGTCATATAAGACTTTAGTATAAATTCATGATAAAACCATCAGGTATAGAAAGCTAAGAAACTAAGAAAACAGAAACCCACTTAAAAATCCTAAATAAAAAGATAGTACAATCTTTTAATAATAATATTGAACTAATAAAAACTCATGAAACATCTTTATAGGAATTGTTAGATAAATTAGATAACAAGATGTGTAAAGAAATATATAACCAACTAGAACATCAGAATTATCAAAAGAAAAGAATATATAAGTATACTATATTAGGCCATCTAAATTAGAAGTTTAAAAAGTTTTGTAGTTCTAAGTTGCAACTAGTAAGAAATAATGAAAAAGATATCAGAAAGACAGATGTCAGAATTTGAATGAATTTTATAAGAATAATAGCAGTTTAATAGATAATTCTGACTGTAAGTATTGGTCTTAATTATAACAAAAAATCTAGGTTAATAGTAAATAGAGAATATATAGTTTATTCTGATAGATTTAGTTTTGAGAATAAAATTATCCTAAGGTTAAGATGAGGATTTAGATACAAATAACTTAGTAAAGTTGGTACAAGGGTTTTAGATCAGAAAGTTTAAAATAAAACATCTAAACAGGAATATTAAATATAGCAACTGGTAAAAAACTTTTGAGCAAACTTCTTAAATAGGTAATATAAAAAAGTTATATGTATAACCAGTTGTATGCTCATTATGATACTTAACAAAAATATTGATAAAATCAAAAAACCAAAGAAGTTATCTTAAATACTAAAAAAAATATAAATAAATAAAGTACTAGCATGACTGCTTAAGAAAAAAAAACTATTAATCAATAACTAAAAGAATCAAAATTTTGTAAGTTAAAAATTCTAAAGAAAACAAAAATAGATTGCTTAAGCAAATAATTTTTAGATCAATAATAAATAAATTTATTTTATTTTTTTTATTTTTTTAAATATTAAGGTGAATACTTGCAATCCAGAATTTTATTAATAGTAAATTTGGCTAATAGTTGCATTACAACTATAGAAGACAATCATAAAAAGAGTATACAACTAATCACTTGTATAACTTTAGACATTATCTAATTTAAGTAATCCATCTAAAGGTTCTATACTAACTGCTATATCTGAAATCTGCTTGTAGGTTTCTTATTTAACTACTCTAGTTTCAGTATCCATTCACCTATCTCTATCTACTAATAATCTTGGCTAATGCAAGTAAAAATATGACATGACTACTAAGACTTTAAAACAATTTTTTGGATTTTTGATCTTGCACTAAACCTTTCAGAATCTTTTATATCTCATTCTTACAACTGACCTGATATTACTATAGTCAAGACCAACACTAATGATCAGAATGTATTATTAAATTGTTATACTTTTGTAAAGTTCATTTCAACCTTGGTACTAACTTCATAATATATCCTTATTACTTTGGTATTTAATTCAAGTTCTACTAAGCTGTTATTTCAGATAGTCTGAAAAGGTAGGTCATAATCATACACCTTTGGTTTACATGTTTGCTAACATGTATTTTTTTTCTTTCAAAATCCGAAAATTCTAGTAACCTGATTGGTTCTTTCAGTTTTTTCTCAAAGACTAATACATTTGTCTAGTTTTACAAGTTCTAGTTCTATTTTATAAGTCTAATCTTTATAGTAATACTGTCAAAAGTTCAAGTTATCTTTCTATTTGAGTCTTCCAAATAGGCTTCTGTTTTTCTATTTGTTTCTGTAATTTATACAATCTAAGAACTTATTTTGGATTTACACTACTTAGTATCGGTTTGTGTTCCTTCATATAATATTGTATGAATGCTTAGATCTTTTAGTCATGCTGATATAACATAATTACAAGTATCTAATCTCAACCAATTATAAAATGCAATTAACTGTAATACAGAAAAAATTGCAAAATTTTGCCATCATTGGGATTTGAACTCTAGACCTGTCATTTGGAAATTGACAACCTATCCATTTTACTAAATTACTATATCTCTAATAAATAAATTTTTATTAGCTTAACAACATATATATTTATATAAAAATCAATGTATTTTTATATAATTTTAATAAAGAAAACAGAACTACTAAAAACAATTTTAAAACTAATCTATTTTATTAAGTATCTAACAAAATTTATAAAAAATTTTGGTTTTCTTTTTCAGACTTTAATAAGTTGATCAACTTTATATATAATAACCAATTAGATAATAATGTTATGTTTAAAAAATTTTGATTTTATTAACCTGAGCTTCCGAAATTTGATCTGATGACCTAATACAAACTAACTAATATTATAGCAAAATTATGATCCGAGCAACTTTACTTAGTATATCAGTTAGAGGGTTTATTTCATAGGCAGAAGCTTGTCTAATTGGTTAATAAATTCAATTTAATTTTACAATATTTATACAGTTTAGAGTACCTTTTTAAAAATGAAAATTAATAATGAAATAAAAAAGCTGTATAAAAGGTTTCATTAGAGCTGTAGGACTTCATTGGCAAAAATAAGATTTAATTCTCGTCCGTTTAAAAAAGTTAGTATAGTAATAACTTAAAACCCGATAAGATCAACTTACTACTAAGCTAATTTTTTTAAACGGACGACAATTAGACCTATTTTTGACTATGAAGTCTACAGCTCTAATGAAACCTTCTTTACGGCTTTTTTTATTTCATTATGGTAGTTATCGTTTTTTTAATAAGTATTCTGAACTGTATAAATAGTGTAAAATTAAATTATTAGCCAATCAGACGACCTGCCTATGAGTAAACTTCGGTGATTTTCGGGCATAATTAATTAAGTCCGGAAGCTCGGGTTGGTTACACGAAATTTCAATTTTAGTGGACAAGACTAAAAATAGCTTATTCGAAACTCAGATAACCTAATAGAGCACCAGTAAAGATTTTTTGACAGGTCTAATCTATAACTATGGTATAATTTATGGTATAATTCACAATATAATGGTCTAATTCGCAACCGAGCTTTCGTAAAAATTTAAGAAAGTGACTATCAGACAGATGTAACGTAAAAATCGTTAACATAACATTAATAATATATATATATATATATTTAATTAGATGTAAGTCACATGCTCTAAATTTTTTTGAACACCACTGCAACATGTTAAATTCAAAATCAAATAAAGATTTATTTATATAATTTAAAATTTTATTGGTTTTTATCGATATATCTGATATATTATACAATAAAATATGAGATATTATATTAAACATAATAATAATATATATATTTAATTTATAAATTAATCTTTATCTATATATCTTACAATTTATGTTTTAGAAATTTTTATAATCTATATTAAGCTACAAAAGTTGTTTTTTTTTCTTTAATATATATTGATATTTTTAAAATTTTCATATTAGCCTTTTTTGTTCCCTTTCGTTTTATTGATGACAATTAAGCCATACAAAATTATGTTAAATCATAAAAAGCCATACAAATCTATAGATATAATCTATGGTATATTCAGGCCATAATGGATTGTCTTTAAGGATAATAAAAATGTTCAGATTTGTTAATTGTACTGTAAAGAAATTACTGAAGAAAAAAAAGAGTGTAAAAACTATTTGGTACAAACATATGGTAATGAATTTTTTTCGAGCGTAAAGACAGACCGTTAGCTGTTTACAGACAACACCTTGAATTCTAGATGCTTGATCTGCTTTTTTGTTACAGGACGCCTACAAAGCGCACACATTTTCTGTGTCTTTACTGCCGTTGTTATGCATTCGCAACAGAATATATGACCGCAAGGAGTGGCAGAAACATCCTTTGGATGATCAAGACAAATTGAGCATTTAAGCAGAAGTCCTTTCTGTGATGACGAAGCCGTGGATGATGAAATATTTTCTGCTGAAGAATCATCATCATCAATCACGATTACTTCTGAGTTCGAGTGGACATTTGGAGATGAGGTAAGGTCGATCACAAAGTTCTCCGGAGATGTAAGGTCGATTACTTCAATATTGCCGTCCGTTTCAGATGCTCTAAACCGACCTATAGTGCCAAAGTTTTCAAGATCGATGGGTAGTACTGAACGGATAGGAGGCAAAGTTATTCCACCATGTGTAGAGTTTTCGTGAGGCAAACAAATAGGACGCAAAGTTACTCCACCAGCGTTGTGTCCATCTGTGAATAATTGCACAGGGGTAGAGAAAGATGTGTCGTTAAGATTGTTTAAATTTTCCGACCGTTGGATGGACGAATTGATGTTTCTATGAGGTGGAGGAAGAAAGTATCGGCCCCTCGTATCAGGTATTGAATGCTCCGCTACTTAAAATTTTTGAATTTAATGTTAACTGACAATTTCACAATAATATTGAATTTAAAAAAGTACCTTCTTCACTTTTAATAATAATATCTGAATTTCTCATTCTTCGTTTATTTGATCTTATTGGCGAGCTTAACAATTGCTTGAAGAATCTTGTTCTTTGCACACAATTATAAAACAGATTATAAATATTGAGAAAGTTGAAAATATCAAATTTATATCGCCCTTATCACACAATAAAAGAATAATAATCAAAATAATGTCGGCGAACTTGTGGAATTTGACCTTTATCTAAATGTTCTATATCTATTTTTTTTTCCAATAAGTTCAGGTGATAGTATGAATCATCTTAATAAAGGTCTAATTTATAAATATACAGTCTGACGATTTACCAAAATAGGGGTCGTCTAAAGCCGTACGGTCACATGACACATAGCCAATAAAATTGTTTGTTGTGATCAACACGGCTGCTAGAAATCTGTTTTTATTGGCTGTTGATCATGGTCATCAAATAATTGGACAATAGGGCGTGAATCTATATAAAATTTTATTAGTAATATATTAACACTCTCAAATATACATACGATAAAAAGTTTTTCTTTTATTTGCACGTTCTTTCTTTTACAGTCAATACTGGTAATAATAATTACAAGTTAGTAAAACGAATGTAATTTTATTTGTTACCATTTATTATATTTTTTAAAGCAGTTTGTAAACATAATAAAACTGTTACTTTTAGTAAGTTTATTCAAGTTTTTTTAAAAATGATTCTTATTTATTTTATTATTGTAATATTGTTTGCAATGTTGGTATTTATTTTTTTTTAATATTAATAATAAGATTATGTTTTTATTTTTATTAAATATTAATTAAATTTTTATATAAAATATAAATTTATTTTTAAAATATTATAAAAAGAATAAAAGTTTAACTTAATTTATTTGCAATCTAAATTAAACTTAGTATTTATATTTTATTTAATTATAATAATAATTTTTTTTTTTTGCTTTTACTAAGGCTGTTAGTTATCAGCAGCTACTGCCTTTATTGTGATTTAATTATGATTATATAACTTGTACAAAATAACTTTTATACTATATTTAACAAATAATTATACAAGTTTCTGTATACCAAGTGTTGTTTAACCTAATTCTGACCTTTCTGTTTATATGTCTGTCAAGCTGTTATATATTTTAAAGTATGTCATTAGACTGTAAGACTTCAAAGAGTTCTTCTGCTAACTAACTACCTATATTTAATTTTTTGTTAATAGGGTTTATTTTTGTAAAGTTTACTTAAACCCTAGTATTAACTTTACAACATATTTCTAATACTTAAGTTATATTCTGTTTTAGTTCTTAGACTTTTAATTCAGATAGTTCAAAAAGACTATAATTTGTTTTTGGTGTTCTGAGGTTTTATTTTTCAAGATCTTTTTTCTCTGATTTGAGATTTCTGACAATCTAATTAATAGTACTCTTTATTTAAGATTCTTGTTTGTCTAATTTCTTTTATATCTATATTTATTTTCTAGGTTTAGTCTTTATAGTAATACTATCAAAGATCTGTGTTACTTCTCTATTCAGTTCTTCCTAAATGGGTTCCAACTTTTTAGTTCTATAAATTTACATAATTACAAAAACTTATCTTGGGTTTATACTATTTGATACCAGTTTGCATTCTTCTGTATAACTCTAACATTATATAGATATTCTATAACTTGTCAGTTATGCTGATACAAATATAATTACAAATATTCTATATCAACTAATCAACAAAATACTGTTACTGTAATTTATAATAATATTAATAAAAACTATAATTACAAATTAAATTTTTTTTTTTTATTAAGATGAAGTTTTTTTTTTTTTTGATATTAAGATGATCTCTTTGGTCTTTTGATTTTTATTAATCACTTATCAGTATTGTGGTTCAATGAACCACTACAAGAGAGTATACAATTGGCTACACATATAACTTTTCTATATTATCTATTTAAGGAGTTCATCTAAAGGTTCTCTACCAATTGTCATACCTAACACTTCTGCTTGGGTGTTTTACTTTAAACCTTTTAAACCTGTAATCTGTATTAACATCATTGAGTTATCTCAAATGCCCAAATTATCATCTCAACCTTAGGACTAATTTATCCTCGAAGTAAACCCCCCAGAGCTTTCTGTATTTATTTTTATAGCTAACCTAAGTACCATTATGGCAGAACCAACACTTGCGGTCAGAGCTGACTATTAAATTGCTATGCTCTTGTAGAGTTTACACAAATCTCAGCACCTACTTCACAGCATATCCGAAATACTTTAGTATATTCTGCCGGTTTACCAAACTTCCAATCCAGATAGCCTAATAGGACTTATAACTAGTCTATTGATATATCAGGTCAGTTTAATATCCTTTTTTTTTGGCTCGATCTGGCAGTCTGGTTGGTAGTACTCCTCATCTAGAGGTTTTTATCTGTTCAGCTACTTCAACCTTGGTATCTATTTCATAAGGCTAGCCTTTACAGTAGGGCTATTGAATATCTGACTACCTCTCTATTTAGGTCTTCTCAAATGAACTTTTTGTTATCCAATTTCAACAGATTTATATAGCTATAAGGACTTATCTAATGTTTGCATTGCCTAATTACCAGTTTGCATTCCTTCATGTAACTACAACCTTGTCTCAAAGGACAATGTCATGTGACCTGTTACACAAATGCCTTATGACCTACTAGTCATGCTAATGTGATTGCCATTACAGGTATCCTAATCTAATCATTAGTAACAGTTGTTGTAATACAAATATTACATAGGTGATTATCCAAATTTTTATTATTAATGGGATTTGAACACTCAACCTACCACTTAGAGGGTTGACAACCTGACTACTTCACTAGGTCACCACACCCTTATTAAGATAAAGTTTTATCTTTATCTTTATTATAATTATATTAAGAATCTACAAAGAATTTTTTTAGTCAAAAGTAGAGTTTACAAATTATTTATAAGAATAAAACTTAAACTATAGATATACTAAGACTACCTAATTTAATCTAATTTATCTGTAACTTAAATCTACTAAAGTAATTAAAATTTATTTAAATTTTATTAATTAAAATATTGTTAATTTAATAATTAATTATATTATTAGTTAGAATACTATATTTAATTTATTTAATATTTAAATAAATAGAAAATTTTAGGATTTACTTTATAGCATATTTGAATTATTTTAGTATATTTTTTAGACTTCTAATTTAAATAACCTAATAGAATTATAATTAGTTTATTAGTATATTAAGTTAGTCTTATATCTTTTTTTTCTAGTCTGTTCTGGCAATTTAGTTAATAATACTTCTATTTAGAGGTTCTTTGAGTATTTTAATATTGGTATCTGTTCGATCTTAACATTAACTCTTTTTACTGATCCCTTATTTCAAAAACAGACAAGACAAAAATAGTAGCAGCAAGCAAAAACTAACTTAGGAAACCTATTCTAATAACTTAAAAAAAATGAAAGTAGACCAAAAACAATATTAAGTTTAATAGAAGCTCTTTTTTCTTTAAGTTAAGTACAAAGTACAAAAGAACAGTTTGCCCTTTTTCTTCAAAACTTTTCTAGAAATTTGAAGAATTGGCAAAGTCTCAGTTTGGCAGATCAAATTAGATGGCACAAAAACACGTAAACAACAAAATAAACAAACAATAGATTATGTTCCTTTTTTGGTTAAGTAAATAAATTACAAAAAAACAACAATCATGCAATTAAACAATAACAGAAAGGCACGTGGTCCTTTTTAGAAAAATCTAGAACAACACTACTAGTAAATATTAGTTGATTATCATTTAAGTGCAGATTAGAAGATAAATGAGTTACACAAGCAGAAGCTACTTAAGTTTATTTGAGGAGCAGGTGAAAAAAATCTTAGTTACTTAAATAGCAATATGTTAACTAAAGCACTAAAAGACACAACACCACATAGTCTAAACAATATAGAACAAATAGCATACAGTATAGCAATTGGCAATCCAAATGAAATTACAAAACAGGATTTGTTGATTT